ATGGTGATGGGGGAGGAGGAGGAGGTTGGGGTAGATGGTGATGGGGAATTGTGGGGGTGACTGGTGCTAGGGAACGGGAATGGTTGCTGGAGATGGTAAGGAAGGGGAGATGGGGAAGACATGTTGGTTTGGAGATTCTGTGATGAATGGTTGGTGTCAGGTCTTTGTTACCCTCGGGAATCGAACGCCGGCCATGCAAGATACGACTGACTGCCTGAGCACTTGTGCTACTCTTTCCCTTATCTTCCAGTATCTTCTACGTTTTCTTTTTTCACAAGAAGTACTGTATTGCCTTGGAGATCAGTTTGCTATTCCTTGTGCAGGATTTTTTGCCCTTGGAGACGGTTCCAGTCACTTAGACTGGTCAGAAGAACAAAGGCCTGGCTTCCTGGAGGATTGGTGTTCGATCCCCACATGGTGAAAGTGGTTGGGCACCGTTCCTACTCACGGTCTTCCTATACCAGCTCCTTGTCCTCATATTCCAGCTCCTTGTCCTCATATCCCAGCTCCCTGTCCTCATATCCTAGCTCCCTGTCCTCATATCCAGCTCCTTGTCCTCATATCCCAGCTCCCTGTCCTCATATCCCAGCTCCTTGTCCTCATTCCAGCTCCTTGTCCTCATATCCTAGCTCCCTGTCCTCATATCCCAGCTCCTTGTCCTCATTCCAGCTCCTTGTCCTCATATCCCAGCTCCTTGTCCTCATATCCCAGCTCCTTGTCCTCATATCCTAGCTCCCTGTCCTCATATCCCAGCTCCTTGTCCTCATTCCAGCTCCTTGTCCTCATATTCCAGCTCCTTGTCCTCATATCCCAGCTCCTTGTCCTCATTCCAGCTCCTTGTCCTCATATTCCAGCTCCTTGTCCTCATATCCCAGCTCCTTGTCCTCATTCCAGCTCCTTGTCCTCATATCCTAGCTCCCTGTCCTCATATCCCAGCTCCTTGTCCTCATATCCTAGCTCCCTGTCCTCATATCCCAGCTCCTTGTCCTCATATCCCAGCTCCTTGTCCTCATATCCCAGCTTCCTGTCCTCATATCCCAGCTCCTTGTCCTCATATCCCAGCTTCCTGTCCTCATATCTCAGCTCCTTGTCCTCATATCCCAGCTCCTTGTCCTCATATCCCAGCTCCTTGTCCTCATATCCCAGCTTCCTGTCCTCATATCCCAGCTCCTTGTCCTCATATCCCAGCTTCCTGTCCTCATATCCCAGCTCCTTGTCCTCATATCCCAGCTTCCTGTCCTCATATCCCAGCTCCTTGTCCTCATATCCCAGCTTCCTGTCCTCATATCCCAGCTCCTTGTCCTCATATCCCAGCTTCCTGTCCTCATATCTCAGCTCCTTGTCCTCATATCCCTTGCAGGTGCTAAATTACCCTACTGACTCAACGCTTCCTCATAATTACCTTACCATAGGACCCTTTAAGAGGCTAGTAAGGCCGTTAAGAGGCTAGTTAGACCGTTAAGAGGCTAGTTAGACCGTTAAGAGGCTAGTTAGACCGTTAAGAGGCTAGTTAGACCGTTAAGAGGCTAGTTAGACCGTTAAGAGGCTAGTTAGACCGTTAAGAGGCTAGTTAGACCGTTAAGAGGCTAGTTAGACCGTTAAGAGGCTAGTTAGACCGTTAAGAGGCTAGTTAGACCGTTAAGAGGCTAGTTAGACCGTTAAGAGGCTAGTTAGACCGTTAAGAGGCTAGTTAGACCGTTAAGAGGCTAGTTAGACCGTTAAGAGGCTAGTTAGACCGTTAAGAGGCTAGTTAGACCGTTAAGAGGCTAGTTAGACCGTTAAGAGGCTAGTTAGACCGTTAAGAGGCTACTTAGACCTAAACTAGTCCCGCGAGACGATGGCTAGTTGTGGGTCTTTTTGTCATGTGTCTTGTTGAATAATCTTTAGAAAACAGTCTTTCCCGCTCATTGCTTTTGGCCATAAGACACGCACTAATGTTTGTCTGGTCTTCTAAACGCTTGTGGTCCAGGTGTGTTGAACCACAGGTGTGATGAAGGGTGTTGCTGGGGTGGTAGTGGTGGTTGTGGTGGTGGTAGAGGCTGGTGGTGGTGGTGGTTGGTGGTAGCTCCAGGCTATAAGGTCCCTGTAAAAGGCTACATGTGTATAAGCCTCTCGCTCCTTCTCTTCCTTCCTCTTGCCTCTTCGTCCCTGCTGCCTCTCCTCTCTGCTCCACATTCCACCTCTCCACTATCCATCTCCATCGCCCTAACCGTCTCATTATCCATCTTCCTAACCCACTCCCGCCACCCCTGGCTCCCTCTCCCTCCCTCCTTGCTTCTCCCAGGACGCCTGAGGAAGTGATCACTTTTTAGCATGTGTCTTGGGGCCCTGTTCATCCTTTAGAAAGTCAATTGTGGTGTGTGTGTGTGTGTGTGTGTGTGTGTGTGTGTGTGTGTGTGTGTGTACTTACCTAATTGTGCTTGCGGGGGTTGAGCTCTGGCTCTTTGGTCCCGCCTCTCAACCGTCAATCAACTGGTGTACAGGTTCCTGAGCCTACTGGGCTCTATCATATCTACACTTGAAGCTGTGTATGGTGTGTGTGTGTGTGTGTGTGTGTGTGTGTGTGTGTGTGTGTGTGTGTGTGTGTGTGTGTGTGTGTGTGTGTGTGTGTGTGTGTGTGTGTGTGTGTGTGTGTGTGTGTGTGTGTCAGGGGATGAGCTACGGCTCTTGGTCTCGCCTCACGACCCTTACCCAACCTTGAATAGGTTCCAGAGACAATTTAGGTCGGTCATATCTTCATATAATGCTGTATATAGAGTCTTCCTCCGTTTCTTTAGTTCTTATAGAGCATGCCAGCCAAGTCACAGACACAAATGTGCCCTGTGGCTCATTTAGGTGCCTTAGTTTCCATCTGTGTCCACGTGTTCGTGTACTAATAATGATAGCCTGTTGTCTGCTCTGTCAATTCCCTGAGTATTTTGTATGTGGTGATCATGTCTGTCATGTTTCTTTTCTCTTCCAGATAGTTCTATTAGTTTAGTCAATTATAGAGTACACGATACCGTGTACGGTCGTGGAAGGGGTTACAGACACATTATGGGTGAAAGAGAACTGTATCGACTACAGTTAAGCTACAGTTTAAAACATGTAGTCTGTCCTCGTAGCTCTTACCTCTCAGCTCTGGGACTAGTCTGGTGGCATGCCTCTAAATTCTCTTCGTTTCGTGTTTAACGAGATAAAGACTCCCAGCTGGTGCTGCATATTCCAGAACTGGTCTGACATAAATGGTTACCTTGAAGTTACCTTGAGGTGATTCCGGGGCTCAGCGACCCCGCGGCCCGGTCATCGACCAGGGATCCTCGTTGCTAGACTGGTCAACCAAGCTGTTGGACGCGGCTGCTTCGCAGCCTGACGTATGTGTCACAGCCTGGTTGATCAGGTATCCTGATGGTACACAAGATTCAGAACGACTCTTTGTTCAGTTTCATGAAGCTTGTCTTAAACTGGGCAACTTTCCATATGTGTGTGAAGATACGCAGGCGAGGAGTCACAATAACGTGGCTGAAGTATGTTGACCAGACCACACACTAAAAGTTGAAGGGACGACGACGTTTCGGTCCGTCCTGGACCATTCTCAAGTCGATTTCGCTTCGAGTTCTTCATTCTCAAGTCGACAATCGACTTGAGAATGGTCCAGGACGGACCGAAACGTCGTCGTCCCTTCAACTTTTAGTGTGTGGTCTGGTCAATATGTGAAGATACGTTTTGGAAGTGATCTTCCGGTAGCAGGCGCGCTATAATGTCAACCCCCAAAAGTTTTTTTCTCCGCCTGATTCCAGGAGGATTTCCTGGCCCATGTGACACCTTTTGTCTGGTCTCCATTCAGCATCATTACTTTGCACTTGCTAGAATCGAATTCTGGGAGCCACTTGAAGGGCCAGGCTAGAGGTCTCTCCCCTCTGAGGGCTCTCCCCTCTGAGGTCTCTCCCCTCTGAGGGCTCTCCCCTCTGAGGTCTCTCCCCTCTGAGGTCTCTCCCCTCTGAGGGCTCTCCCCTCTGAGGTCTCTCCCCTCATTGTGACTCTGTCCTTGGCTTCTGTTGCAGAGGTAAAACTTCTTTCCATGTTTCTCCTGCCTGTTCCCCCATCTTGTGGGCTCGTCAGCTGTGGGGTTGTGTGTCGAAGGCTTCCTGGCGGAAACTTGACATGTCGTTCCCCTTCTTTGTCGTATGTGATCTTGGTTGCCCTGTCATGGAACTGTCAAGTTCGTGAGAATAAGGAGCCACGAACAATAAAACAAAGGAACCAAGGCAGACGAAATAAAGGAAATGAGGAGCGACAGGAAAAAAGTTTGGAACAACAGGAGATGACAAGAAGGAAATTAAGACCGGGGTAAAAAGTCTCGAAAATTGTTATTAATTATTAACAGAGGAGAGCGGTATAGAGAGGAAGGGAGGCAGACTACTTCTCTTCCTCCTTCTACCTCCCTCTCTTTCTCTTCCTCCTTCCCTGCATACCTGGAACATACCTGGAGAAGGTTCTGAGAGTTCTTCTACTCCCCGAGGCCAGGTTCGACTTGTGATAACTTGGTCCAACAGGCTGTTCCTGGAACAGCCTGTTGGACCAAGTTGGTCATAACTTGGAACTTGTCTCCGTTAAACATCATGTTATTTTCAGTTGCCTAATCGAAGACTTTATTAATATAGGCCATGCAATCTTTCAGTATCTTCTATAAAAGAAAGTTTCATGCTGATTTTTGCATCATCTGCGAAGGATGACACGAAGCTGTGACTGCCTAGCAGTCCCCAGACTTAGCTGTCTGCCTATATGTCTAACTCTCTTCCTCTCCCTCCTCTCTCTATCTTTCGCCTTCCGTCTCTCCCACTTCCTCTCTCCCTCTCACCTTCCTTCCTTAATCCCCTCCCCCCTTCCCACATCCCAGTGATGTGTATACTGATGCCCCGAGGCCTCCCCCTTCCACACAAGCACCAAATCACCCCACCAAGAGCATGTAATAGCCGTTCCTTAAGTCATATCCAAGAACAGTCGGTTAAGACTCTTACCTGAGTCCTCTCGACAGCTTTTTGAGGTTGGACTCATTGAGCCTCGGAGCAGGAGACTCCATCCGGAGCGCTCGCTTCAGGTCTGGGAGGGAGGGAGAGGGAGAAGACTGTTAGTACACAGATATGGGTTGTGGGTCGATGGACCCACTCACGCTGCTCTACAAGGTCACCCCAGTTCGACCTTGGACAGTCGTGGACGACAACTCTAGTTCTTGGTCGTCGTCCGATACCTGAGGATACATAGACACATACATGGGTCAATGTGTTCCTATAGTGTCTATGTGTGTCCGTGCGTGCGTGGGTTGTATATTCAGGAGTTAAAATGTCATTTCAATGTCTATTTTCTTGTGTAAATAAATATAAACATATTCATCCACACATATATTATGTGTGTGTGTGTGTTTATACATGTTTATATATTTTGTATTTACTCAACAAATTAGACATTAAAATGTGTGTATATATATATATATATATATATATATATATATATATATATATATATATATATATATATATATATGGGTCCCTACACTTGCACGAAAGGTGGTACCCCCTTATATAAAGTGTATATATATATATATATATAATATATATATATATATATATATATATATATATATATATATATATATATATAGAGAGAGAGAGAGAGAGAGAGAGAGAGAGAGAGAGAGAGAGAGAGAGAGAGAGAGAGAGAGAGAGAGAGAGAGAGAGATATAGAGGACAGCCGTGAGTTAACCCACACATTTCCCCATAGATACATCACGTTATCATTTAACTGTGTATATTCACACGCATGTACACAACACCTACATATGTACACTTATATATACATCAATACATATAGTTATACCTTGACACATACATTTTGTCTTCTCCCATCTCCTATCTCACCATATATTCCATTTTTGTGGGGGAATAAAATGTTCGGAAATGGGAAATATAAATCGAGTTATGATTTCAGTCGGGCTGTCCGCCTTGCTGACACGGTATTATGTCAGTCGGACTGTCCGCCTTGCTGACACGGTGTCCCAGCTACACTTTAAGGCCACACACACTGCCAGCCGGTCGCTATAAGGTGGTGGTCCCTCTGGGAGCCAGGAAGCAATGGTGTGTGTGGTGCAGGGACCGTCCAGGCTACACCATCAGGTGCCGATAGCATCAGTACTGTGCTGGGTAACCACACCACCCAACCTCGCTCTCTGTCCTAGCTCGTGTGTGTGTGTGTGTGTGTGTGTGTGTGTGTGTGTGTGTGTGTGTGTGTGTGTGTGTGTGTGAGAGAGAGAGAGAGAGAGAGAGAGAGAGAGAGAGAGAGAGAGAGAGAGAGAGAGAGAGAGAGAGAGAGAGAGAGAGAGAGAGAGAGAGAGAGAGACAGACAGACAGAGACATATGAAACTGAATGACACGTATCGAAGACAGGGGTAAATAAACAGAAAATAAAAAAATGAAGTGAAGGGGAATTGAAAGAAGTAATGATAGAACAGAAGGCAAGAATACCCCGTCAAGGGATGGATCGAATGCAGTCAAGCTTGGTGTTGAAGGATGACAGGAATGGAATTTAGGAAGACAGAGTGAGTTCAGACGGTCACCAGGAGCGAGTACGAGGTACATATACACCAGGTACGACAAGGTGACAGGGGCGGCCTGCCCCCACACTCTCCCCGCCACCGTGTCGGAATGTCGAGACATCCTCGTCAGCGTGAGACTTAACACCAGGCGACACATTCTCTTCCTCTCTTGGACTGCCATCTCACCACCACCAGGATCACCAGCACGCGTCCCATTCTCTGTAACTAGCTGACATTGTAACGATAAGGTGTGAAGGATAGATGAAATTGTTTATGTAATAATCTAAGATAACGTCTGATGCAGGCGATGAGTCACAATAACGTGGCTGAAGTATGTTGACCAGACCACACACTAGAAGTTGAAGGGACGACGACGTTTCGGTCCGTCCTGGACCATTCTCAATTCGATTTTTGAATGGTCAAAAATCGACTTGAGAGTGGTCCAGGACGGACCGAAACATCGTCGTTCCTTCAACTTCTAGTGTGTGGTCTGGTCAACATAACGTCTGATAAAGACCTTTTGTGCCCTCTGTAATGCTTTTTTGCGCTACCGCTCACAGGATGGGTATGGGGTACACGATAAACTACCCGCCTCCCGGGGGTAACAATCAAACCAGCAAGCGTCACCACTAACTGTCACTCGGCCCCCAGTGAACTGGATACAGTCACTGCATTGCTTGCAAACCAAATATAAATGCAATTATGATAATTACGACTGTTGACGGCCCTCAGGCCGCCGGCGCCACACCTACACAGTCGTAATGGTAACTGTACACAACAGTAGAGACGAGGGAAGACTGTGCCCGCAAGATCGCAGATAAGAAGGACATTGTTTTAGCTTTGTTATCTTCACAAACTCGGCGTTTTAAATCTAAGGGATTTTGTGTTGTTTGTCCTTGTGGTGTCCAGGATATTTGGTGGACACACGACAACACGACAATCTACCTTACCTTGAGGTTACCTTGAGGTGCTTCCGGGGCTTAGTGTCCCCGCGGCCCGGTCGTCGACCAGGCCTCCTGGTTGCTGGACTGATCAACCAGGCTGTTAGACTCTGATTAATCTGTCCCATAAATCTACAATCCTGCGGTTTTCAACACTCGGCTGATTTTTGGTGTTCGTGGCTTTGTCTGCAGGAACGGTATGTCATCAGAGCTTATGTCATTGGTTGGGAATCAATTTAAATGTCATGTTTTTGGACTTGATGTTGTCTGTGCCACGTGTCTATGTCACGGCGGCTGGTTATGCCACAGGTCTTTAGGACAAAATACCTGTTCCCTGGAAACACAAACCGAAACTCTCTCTATTTTCCGCTTGTTACAACTTGTAATAAACTTGTTACATCTTGGCTTAACGTGTTTATGACGTATTAGAACGTTGTTACAACTTGCTATATTGGTTGTTATAACTGGTTAGGTGTTAAAACTTGTTCGAACGTTGTACCAACGTCGTAGTTTCGGTGTGTGTTTGGCGGGTTTAGCCCTTCTTCTTCTTCTTCTTTAGCCCTTAGAAATTCTTTACAAATTCTTAGAGAGGACGAGGGAGGGAAGATTTACTGAAAGAAACAAAACTCACGGACCAACCCGTCCTCATACCTAATCCGTTTACAAATCTTACGTATTAGTGAACAATAAAGCGCCGCAAATGCTACGTTTTCAATGTATTAGCCTCGATAGGCTTGGTGGGTTGCTTGGGTTCGCCTGGACAACGAGGCAATACCCATTAAAACAATGCTTTAAAGGCGACCAGAAGTGATAACGTTGACGAAATATTCTGAAAGCCATAAAAGTTGTTTTTTAATACTCGTAAAGTGCCCCAGAGGGCAGGCGCCTCCACACATACAGCTGTCTGAACGAGATATAATAAGGTCGAACACATGTTGTTACTACAGCTGATTATCGACCATGTAATCCCTACTGGGAAAAGGATTTGGTTTGCCGCTGAGGTTTTACACAAACAGTTCACTATATGGCAACGGTTTGTCGAACTATGTTAGCAAAAATCCGGATAATACATATTCACATTTTGTATCCAAAACTTATAACAATATAACCAAAATATCTACAGGATAACTTAAGCACTCTTAACCCACATTACTGGTGAAATTTGACCATACATGGATAATTATTAGAGTCGTTAACGGTATGCAATTAACAGGTAGTTAAAAGATTCGTGTCGCGGCAATCTGTTTATGACCGAGAAGAGGAAGGTTGAGAGAGGTGTGGGAGGAGGATACGCCGAGAGTCATTATGGGCACCAAGAAAAAGATAGAGGAGACATTAAAGACAAAAAATATCTAAATTAAGCTATCTATATATCTCGGCACCTTATTACCTAGATCTTATTAGGTGTATATGATAGCTGGAGTGATGCGTACGTTAGTTGGAGGAGGGGGGGGGTTTACAATGCTGTTTATGATAGCTGGAGTGGATTACAATGGTGTGTATGATAGCTGGAGTGGATTACAATGGTGTGTATGATAGCTGGAAGGTGTTACAGTAATGTGTATGATAGCTGTAGTTACAGTGATGTATTCAAAGAAGCTTAATGCTTAAAACCACAAACAAGCTTCCCACCACAAAGCTTTGTCTCCCTTCTACTAATCCTTTAAATGCTCTCTCTCTCTCTCTCTCTCTCTCTCTCTCTCTCTCTCTCTCTCTCTGTCTCTCTCTCTGTCTGTCTCTGTCTCTGTCTCTGTCTCTCTCTTTCTCTCTCTCTCTCTCTCTCTCTCTCTCTCTCTCTCTGTCTCTCTGTCTCTCTGTCTCTCTGTCTCTCTCTCTCTGTCTCTCTCTCTCTCTCTCTCTCTCTGTCTCTGTCTCTGTCTCTCTCTCTCTCTCTCTCTCTCTCTCTCTCTCTCTCTCTCACGGACTTAAGAACTAGCGGCAGTTCAAGCATTTACACAGCCATTTACTAAACCTATTCATCACTTCTTAATCATGGCGGCTTTGTTTGCATGTATTTATTAGGTTACGAGCTTCGGAACTTCACGAACCAACGTAATTATATTGCTGTAAACAAATCTCATTGTGCTTCAGAGCTCATTAACTGTTTATTCAATTATTAAGGATGTACAGGTTTCGTAACGCGTTGGGTAAATGTTTCATAGTGTGTCTGTATTCACTAGTCAAGGCACACTCAAAAGCAAACACTATTTAGTTAGATATCTTCCCTGACAACTAAGATAGCTTTAAGAAAAAGTAGCTTTGAAAAATCTTTCAGATAACAGTTGATATATCGTCCTGTATGTATACTATATACTCCAGTATACCAGCGGGGAAAGTATGCTACACAACGGTGTACCAACAAATGAACAACAGTTAATCGACGTAGAATCGACGTTGATTCTACGTTGACTTTACGTTGATTTACCGTTGATCCTCTCTTGATCCTGACGTTTGGCAATGTTTCCTTTTACCTGATGCACCTGTTCACCTAACAGTAAATATATATCGGGGGAGTAAAGCAACTGTTGTGGCTTGCATCCTCGGGAAGGGCAATAGTTGGCCCAGGGGGA